CTGACTGCACATAAAAAACATCTATTTATTAAGTTACAATTTAATGGGGACTTATCTACTGAGATTCTATTCCAAAGACTTTCAAGGAGTATACGAAGAACATTTTACGCAGCACAATTATGTTTGTCATTCTCTAGCCGATGAATGATTGGGACGCAAACGAAGGATAAGCTTGATAGTTTTGCCACATCTATGTGCATTTATCAATTCAACTGCACCTGCGGTGACAGTTATGTTGGGCGTACTACTAGACAGCTTAGCCAACGTGTTAGTGAACACCTCTCATCGTGGTTTGGCAAAGGACAGACAAAAACAATCCGTAGCTCAATTCTGTCACATTTAATTGATAGTGGTCATGTAGTGAAGAAAACGAAAGCTTTCAAAGTAATTCATCTTATCCCACCGAATCTTTCCAATAGACTTCATATTCGTCTACTGCACACAGCTGAGGCGATAGGCATTCAAACTATTAAACCTAAACTATGCATTCAAAAGAAGTTCGTGCAGCCATTATCCCTCCCTTACTTGGCCTATGAAGACATAACCAACTAAAGACTTCTACACCACCCTTTATTTATGTTTCCAACCCCTTTCTTATCATCCCTTAATCTTATCACATCTTCATTAAAAACGTGTTTCATTAACTTTCCTTACAATCTAACATTACTTAATCGGTTCATTTGTTTTTACTAGCCTTTATCGACTACTTCCACCTGAACAGTTGTTTGTTTAATCATACTGTTTTTCATTATTCGCCTTATCACAGATTGCCTCATTTTTTCATCCTTATTATTGATAAGACCATTGATAAGACTATTATTATTACTATTATTAATATTATCATTACCACTATTATGACTAATTGCACAATTTATATTCACCATCTTATTATCCTATAGACAAAACACCATGATTGGTTTATATTTGAATTTTTATTTGTAAACTTATGTATATATTAGAGTTAAGCCTGATGAGATCTAATTGAAAGCACAATATTGTTCACTTTAATATGTTGTTATAAATATTTAGATGATTCAACAAATTTTTATTTTCAAATTCATCAAGGAAAATTCATCTGTGTTGTTATTTTTATTTAATTTTATTCTCTTCTTCATAGATACTTTCGATTTTCTTTTTCTAAGTATTTTGTCTTATCCGCTAAGCATTTCAACCATGGAAGCAGAAGAATAAAAACCCAAAAACAGTTCACTTTTTGAAATGATCTATTTACTGGACTGTTGCTAGTTAGGCTTTTTCAATTGAATCTTTGATTTTAGCTGATTGTGTTTGCCTTTTCTTTAAAAAATCTTATTCTTCTCACTGAAACAACATCTGTTATTGTAAGTGAATTTATACCCAGGCAGGAAATATCTTCATTGTAAATAGGATAATCTTTAGTGATAAAGTTGATCGTACTGATAAGGCTGCAAGTTCTCGACTATAGTTCCCAAGTGGTCTAGTGGATAACACTTTAGCCTTTGAAACTATGGGCACTGGGTTTGAGGCTCGGTGGGAACGTCATCACTCACTGGGAAATGCAGGTAAATCCAGTAGCTGACGAGTTTCAAATAGAACAGGCGAAATGCGCGGGATCCTGGATTCCACTGCTAGTCACCGTCTTCGACTATACTTATTGGTTCATTTCGCACATACTTACACATATTTTTTTTTCATTATTTCAAATATTTTGTTGTTTTTACACATATGTGTCACAAATATTAAAAGGTATCAGTTAATATTGATATAAGTCGACGTGGAGTAATTGAGATGTCATCTGTCTAGTCCTTAGGATTTACTAATGCTGACTGAATTGTGTCATTGATTCGCCATAGCTACACACAGTAAAAGTTGATGATGCTGGCGATGATGATTGTCCTTCAACAGCTGTGAATGTCGCAGTAGGTGACTTGGATTAGTACGTCTGACGGGACGTTAGTTTTTTTCTAGAGGTTATTGGATACCTCTTAATGATGAGTGCCAGTTAGTCCTAAAACCATCTAACATCAGTTCCCAGTGTGTTGGACATTATTTGAACATTAGGATTTATAATACAACTGTATATCTATTTTATTTATATTCTTCGACTAAACTGCTTTTCAGGTGTTGGTTTGTAAGGAATTGACTGGTTACATGATTTCATCATGAGCTGACATTGGTTAGAGAACCGGAGTACCGGACAGCTGTTTCCTCCGTCCTAGTTTGGGACTCTTCGACAGTACGCACCCACCGACAGGCTTCGAATCCAGGACCTTCTAGTTACAAGGTGAGCTCGTAGACCATTAAGCCACTGGGACGGGGTCCAAGAAGGTCCTGGAATCGAACTTCGGTAGGTGTGTACTGCTGAAGAGCCCTAAACTGCTGTTATTTATTCATAGCACTACTGATTAATCCATTGACATAAACTAAACAGGTTAAGTACATATGAATAATGCTAAAAACTGAATACACTATCAAACAAGATGCAAAAAGAAGGTCATTTATGTTTTTATAGTTCAAAAGTAGACAAGAGAGATAATCCTTTCAGAGTAAAAAACTAAGCACATATTGTAATTATGAAGTTAATGTTTTAATGAGAAAATCACGCAAGTTAGGATGTTTGTTTGTCAACATTTTGTTTGTAAGTTTCATTTGATTTTATTGACTGTTTTATATCACAAAGGAATATTAGTTACACAACCATCAAAATAAAACGGGTAGCATTTGTGATTTATATCGTCAAGTATTCGAAAAATTTGAAAATTAGTAAAGACACAATCTTGTGCGTCGGTGGCACAGAGGATAGGACGCTCGCCAACCATGCACATGGTCTGGGATTCGATCCCCGGTCACCGAAGCACTCCTTTACCTACCTAAGCCAGAAATAATCCTGGTAAAGACGAAAGGTTGGTCATGAGGCTAGCAACTCCATCCTGTAAAATTAAACACTGCTACAGAAACTTCAAGCGACTAGCTTGAAGCCCACTGGGAGCGTGAAGGAAAAAAACAACAATCATGAGCAAAACTATCACGTCTGTTTCAGGATATGTTACCTTTAAAAACCGTAAGGTTAAAAATATAATAGCTATTTTATATTCCTTAGTGAGATGTATTGCTTCGAAGATGAAATAATTATCAACAAGATTGACAAAATCAGGTGTTAAACAATCTGTTTATCGACAACGTGGACTGTTGTTCACGCTATATCAAAAATCAGCGAAATTCAGGAAGTCAGGCTTAATGGAAACGTAAAGTTCTGACTGCATGGCTTAATTAGATATGAGGTAATGGTTGTACACTGTACATGCCAGAACTAGAACGAATGAATAATGTAGTTCTGTTTGTAATTCAGTAATTTACCAGCCAATATTGACTGGTTGCAGTAGTTTGGATAAAGCGACAGACGGCGGGCAGTGAGGAAACAGGCATAAAATGGACTTCGTCGATGATTTATGTCTGATTTCCCACAAACTGGAACATATACAAGTCTCGAAAAATACCCATTTATTCATAAGTAAAAACACAGTTTTTGTTCAGCGAAGAAATTTCTTTTCAACGACTTCATTTTCAAGCTGTACAGCCGTATTTATATTACAGAAAAAGGTTATTAAGTAGCACAAAATAATATATACAAGTGAAAAGCAACAAGTTGGCACAAGAAGCATCCAGAGTAAATAGGACTTCAGGTGAACATAGAGAAAACAGAGGTGATAAATATTCCTGGCCAACACCAACATCAACTAAAACAGACAACAATCAGCCAGCATAAATGGGAGGAACCTGAAAGAAACAACCTACTTTACCTAACTACCGACCTGGGAAGCATCGTTTCAACTACAGATGGAAAGAACTGATGAGGATATCAAAGCGAGGATCGGAAAAGCAAGACAAGCTTTCATTACTCTCAAGTCTGCGTGGAGGTCAACACTTAGCACTCAGCATCAAAAATAAGATCCGGATTTCCAATTCCAATGTGAAGTCAGTGCTACTCACTATATGGATCAGAGACTTGGCCAGCGCGTCATGAAGAGCACCTCAAACAAACTACAGATCTTCATCAACAGCTGTCTTCGTTCAATGCTACTCAAGATCAGCAACAGAGGTCTCTGGAAACGAGTGAACCAACCAGGAACCGATTTTGCAACAAATATGCAGGAAGAAATGGAGGTGGATTGGCCATACGCTGAGCAAACCATCAAGTGACATCACTAGGCAAGCCCTCAAGTGGAACCCAATAGAATGGGAAGCGGTGAGTTAGTCGTCAGTCCGGGTTGACATGGAGGACGTCATGTGAAGAGGAGATGAAAGCGTGTGGACAGACTTGGAGTGGGGTGAAAACGTTGGAAGAAACCTAAACGCAATGAAGACGTGCGGCTAAAGTCCTATGTTCCTCTAGGAATTAAAGGAAATAATAATAATAAATAATAATTGACCTGTGTTGGAAAGTATTCCTAAGTTCATCAAGTGGTTTAACTGTTGCAATTCTCATTCATCATTCATCATACACTCTTATTCGTATTTAGTGTTCCTGGTACCTCATTTAACTTTTTAACTTTACCAATAAAGACTTTTTTCCTGTCTAAAAATCTTTTATGGACTAATTTTTGCTAAGTGCTTTCTAGAGTAAGTTGAAATAACCGTTTATTACCATTGAATTCAAACTATATTTCAAGGCGTTTTCCGGAATTAGTTTCACAATAGCCTTCTTAAATCATTCGTTGGGTCATTGAAGAATATTGGACGACCATTTTAGCGTACCTTTAAAGTTCTTCAGCACTACACTAGTTCACCTTCATACTAATGGGTGTCTAAAAGGTTCATATCTCAGTCAATGGAATACTCTACGTTTTGTGAATTCATTTAATTTACCAGAAACATTTAATCATTTAACGAAGCCCATGTTTAGTGTTCACTACTTTAGAGCTAATATCCACCCAAACTCAAATCATATTCGATAAGTTGAATGAATTTTTTTTATTTTTTAAAAAGGCACTTAGTAGTTTAAAAAACAGATTAAAACTTACCATTATTTGTATCGTCAAATCCTTTACCGCAAAGATCGGAATTAGTCTGATGTATATTTTCCTTTATCATTAGCACTTCAGGTTTATTCAACTGATATTCAGATGGTGATTGTTTACAACATTCAGATTGATCAACCTTGTAATCGTTGCTTATCGAGTTCATCACATCACTTTCTGATTCAATTTCTTCTTGTACCACTGGTGACATTTTCCATAATTCTTGTTCTCCGACCACCTTTCCTGACGCATTACCTTCAACAACACCATCGCCACCACGACCACCATCGTCACTTTGAGCCGGGATGACTTGTGAATCGGATGAATCATCTGTAGAATAATTATTATTATTCATTGATGTATAGGGTTTTGTTAAAATATACTCTTGAATAGTAATCTGGGCACAGCTCATGATTTAGTTTGTTTTAATATGAATGCACTGAACATTGACTGGATTTCAAACACCTAGTAACACATTATTAGGCATATGTTAGTTTTGTTTTATTAAATATATTTGAAATAGGCTCTTTCTTTAAAAAAAAAAAATATTAATCTTGAATGGCTACTCCTTTTGTTGTTGGTGTTATAACTTCTGGTATTGCTTTCACTGTTGTCATGGTATTGCCTAAAATTTAAACTTTGATAAAATACATTCAAGATTACAAAATCTTATCATCATTGAAAATTGAACAGGTGGTTACACGTATACTAACAGTGGTAATGATAATGATAATAATAATTGACTATGTACAGACTATTAAGTTCATTAATTGTCTACCCACTTTAATCATTTATGCATACAAATGAATCTATACATATCTATCTATCTATCTATCCATATGGCTAATAATGCGTGTTTATGTACATAGCAGAACAATATGAATTGGTATATATATATACATTGGTAAGTGTAGAGATGAGATAGGAAGGACAGAGGTTTGTTTGTATACATGTGCACATAGAGACGCAGCTATTTCACAAGTGTATGTTATATCTCAATTACTAAATTACCTATAATATTCAATTCTTAAAATTTTCATTTATCTTAATGTTCATGTGTATTTGTGTAGGTGTGTGTGTGAGAGACATAGTGAGAGAAAGAGGTACTCATAAGCTCTCCAGTGTATCACCCTTAAAATGCATCGATAGTGTATATACAAAACAAATTATGAAAATTATACAGGTATAATTTAATAAGGACCATGAATTTCATACTACGAACAACCACAACTGAAATGAATGAATTATTCATCATATTTTTTTAATTTCTTCTATTTCCCAGTGGAACGCATAGGGCTTCGAGTTAGAGGCTTGAATTTCCGGGAGCAGTGGTCTTTTAGTTTTACGAGATGAGAGGTTGCTAGCCTCATTGCTAACCTCCCCTCCCCTCTTTACCAGTCTTATTACTGGCTTATTGAGGTAAAGGAGTGTGCTGGTGGCTGCGGATCGAACTCCGGATCACATGAGGCGTAGTCGGTCAACATTCTACCTCTGTGCCACCGACATACACACACACACCACTAATGAAATGAATTATTCAGCTGATTATTAATGATGGTGAAACATTTAACACTTCAGTAAATTTGTCGTGACCAGTAGGGTGCAACAGGTCGGATGTGAGGATAAATACCCGCCGACGACATTGACTAGCGGTTGCGATATATCGTGAATCGGCAAACGTTAGAATTCATGGGTTGGCCATTGGATCGCGTCCAAGTGGCTCAATGGTCTACGAGCTCAGTGGCCTTGTAACCAGAAGATCCTGGGTTTGAACCCTGTCGGTCGATGCGTAGTGATGAAGAGTCCCAAACTAGGATTGAAGAAACAGCTGTCCAATGCTCCCAGGTTTTCCAATGGTACTCTAACCAATATCAGCTCATGATGAAATCCTGTAGCCAGTTAACAAAACTTATATATGTGCTGATAGCTTTTATTCACAAACTCGTGAATAACGTGAGTGTCACTTTCAATCAGTCTCAGGATATAACATTAGTCATTACGCTATGTAAAAATGAATAAGTAATCATTATTCTTCAAGTTCAAGGAGTACATATTGACACAATGTCAATAAGTCGACAGGGTGCCGAAGACTAATTTATATATATATATATATATATATATATATATATATATATATATATATATCAAAATTAGAAGTTTAATTTAGCTGTCATGTCCTCTATTACTATGTTCTTAAGATTGTAAATTGAGCCTTGAATTGCCTTATAATGTCCATGAATAAATTCCAGCGTCCTAGTCGATACGACTGTTAAATCACTGGTAATGATGGACACCCACTGAATGAGCCGGCCAACATTTGATTTTTCGAAAGAATTCTCAAAATGCCTCAAAGAAAGAGATATGGAGAACTTTTCTTTTTAAATTTACAAAATCTTTGATGGTCATGAACATACTCAGTGAAATCGGTAACATATCTGACATACAACTTTTATCACAAAAATTCTAAAAATACTGTGTAAACATTTCTCATTTCTTCATAATAAATTAGTTCTAGATTTCAGCTGTCTCAGATATATAACTTCATTATTTCCATTCGGATCTTTCAGCATCACACCAGTTACCCTCAAATAACAAATGATCGAACCTGGAAGATCAGGATTTCGTGCAGCGATGATTTATGTTTGATGTCACACAAAATCAAAGACTCAGAGGCAAGCAAAAACCGACACACTGGTCGAAGAAGCAGCCGGCGAAGACAGGGCTCCAAGTGAACATAGACAAGACGGAGGTTATGAAAATAATCAACCACCACCACCACCAACAACAACAACAACAACAGAAACATCCAGCGACAATCACCATCAACGGGAGGGATTTCAAAGAGGTTACTTCATTCACTCACTGATCTAGCGAGCATTGTCTCAACTACAGGAAGTCGGAACGGACGAGGATGTCAAATCGAGCGAGAATCGGGAAGGCGAGCGAGAAACACACACATTCACCAACCTGAAACCAATCTAATCTGGAAATCTTCGTCACTCAGCCAGCATCAACAACAAAATCCAGTCGGATTTTCAATACAAACAACGTCAAGTCAGTCAGTTCTCTATACGGAACGGATGAGAAACTTGGCGGCTGGGCCACAAAGAATATTTCCACCAACAGCCTGTTGCAGAACTTTATCAACCAACAACTGTCTTCGCTGGATCTATACTGAAGATCAGATGGCGGAGTCGGAAACAATCACCAACAAGAAAATATGGGAACAAACAAACAAACAAAACAAGAACCAATCGCCAACCAACAAATATGCAGTGGATGGAGTGGAGATGGATTGGACACTCGCGACTGAGGAGGCCGCCACTGGGTGACATGGAGCGCGCGTCAGACCATTGATCGAGTGGAACCAGGCCGGAAGGGAATCGGCGGCGAGTGGGACGTCAGTGCATGGGTGACATGGAGGAGATTGTGTGAAGAGGAGTTGAAACAGTGTGGACTGACATGGATGAAGGTGAAAAGTACAGCAGCAGAAGACAGAAGTGGCAAGTGGATATGTGCGGTTGAAGCCCTATGTTCCACTAGGAACCCACGGGAACAATAATAATATAACAAATGATCAATTAGCTAGCTAGACGTTTTGCATTCACCATACAGTCAAAAATGAAAATAACGCATACATTTTGTTGTAGATTGTTATATCAAATGGCGATTGTGTTGAATTCAACACTGTGTGTGGTTTGAAATAATCACGATCACGTCTTACATTCCTGTGTGTGTGGATAGAAAATTTAAACTAGCGGGATTTTACTCATTTGTAGGGTTCTCTCATCTGACTGAACACTTGTGTTCCGAATTTCTTCGAATTTCACCGACTTAGAAATCACCAACAATCGAGTGTATGAAGACAAGTTTGTCGCTAGTTGGTTATTGATTTTTTTTTACTTAGGAGTGGCATTACTTGTAGGAACGGCGGTAAGTAGTTAGAAAAACTAAACTATTTAGTTTTAATGCTTAACCTGACTATCACAAAATCTCATAAATGCAGTTATCACCTCATTGTCATCTTCAGTTATAAACGTTAGCAAATCATGCAGTAATCGGAGTTTTTATTATAGCTTGAAACCACACAGTATTTGTGGTACAAATATGGAATTTTCAGTATATGATATCGGTAGCCCAAATTTTGCAGGCCGACCAAACGATATCAGGTGTGCATCGGCAGGGGATCAAACCCAAGACTATGAACATGGTCGAAGTGAGTCCTAACCGCTGTGCTACTGACGCAAATAAAGGGAGGACCGTGAGGCCTCCCCACTGACAAAAAACTACACGCCCGAGCGCACTCGATTAGGGTCCAACGCGAGTTTCAACCCACTGGGGCGCAATGATGAGCCTTCACCCGGAGTCAGAGCTTTTCTGATCACCCTGAACCCCGCGCTGATTGATATCAGCAATTGATCAAACCTGTAACCAATCACATCACTGCAAACCAATCAGTTCGTATTTTATGCATGAAAATAGTCTCAGTGATTTATATAGATCGATTTAGGTAAATGACTTCATGTTTTTTTTTCAGTGAAGTGATGTGTACTCACTTTAATTAAACAACTCTGAAAGATTGGAGAATAAGAGTAAATTACGCTTTTCATCATAAAAGAAGATTGATGGTTGAAGTGAATTATAGCACTTTTAGACCACTTTCACTAAAAGAAAATATCATTTATGTAAACAATAATAGTCTAAGCAAAAGGTAAACAAAAATTATTCTAAGAGTTGAAGTGGTTCTCCTCAAATATACTCAGATCACTACAAACAAATACAGTATAGTCGAAGAATTGTTTTTTTTTATTAGACTTTAAGTAGTGTAGTAAAGAGTGAAACTTGTTCATTTTAAACTATGCAACAATCCACTCATAATTCACATTATCATTTATCGAAAGATAACCATAAGACATCAAAAGAAGCTAAAGTATTATTATTATATTATAATTGTTCCCTTGGGTTCCTAGTGGAACATAGGGCTTCAACCGCACATATCCACTTGCCACTTCTGTCTTCTGCTGCTGTACTTTTCACCTTCATCCATGTCAGTCCACACTGTTTCAACTCCTCTTCACACAATCTCCTCCATGTCACCCATGCACTGACGTCCCACTCGCCGCCGATTCCCTTCCGGCCTGGTTCCACTCGATCAATGGTCTGACGCGCGCTCCATGTCACCCAGTGGCGGCCTCCTCAGTCGCGAGTGTCCAATCCATCTCCACTCCATCTACTGCATATTTGTTGGTTGGCGATTGGTTCTTGTTTTGTTTGTTTGTTTGTTCCCATATTTTCTTGTTGGTGATTGTTTCCGACTCCGCCATCTGATCTTCAGTATAGATCCAGCGAAGACAGTTGTTGGTTGATAAAGTTCTGCAACAGGCTGTTGGTGGAAATATTCTTTGTGGCCCAGCCGCCAAGTTTCTCATCCGTTCCGTATAGAGAACTGACTGACTTGACGTTGTTTGTATTGAAAATCCGACTGGATTTTGTTGTTGATGCTGGCTGAGTGACGAAGATTTCCAGATTAGATTGGTTTCAGGTTGGTGAATGTGTGTGTTTCTCGCTCGCCTTCCCGATTCTCGCTCGATTTGACATCCTCGTCCGTTCCGACTTCCTGTAGTTGAGACAATGCTCGCTAGATCAGTGAGTGAATGAAGTAACCTCTTTGAAATCCCTCCCGTTGATGGTGATTGTCGCTGGATGTTTCTGTTGTTGTTGTTGTTGGTGGTGGTGGTGGTGGTGGTTGATTATTTTCATAACTTCCGTTTTGTCTATGTTCACTTGGAGCCCTGTCTTCGCCGGCTGCTTCTTCGACCAGTGTGTCGGTTTTTGCTTGCCTCTGAGTCTTTGATTTTGTGTGACATCAAACATAAATCATCGCTGCACGAAATCCTGGTCTTCTAGGTTTCTCACGTCGGTCCAGGATATCCCTGTCTTCTAATTTCCCACTGTCTGACACATAATCCAGCTGAGTTATACACAGGGAATTATTCAATTTGCGCGTATAAAAGGTAGACTGCTTGCTCTTAGAAAAATACTCTCAAGAGTTCCAAAAATTGGAAATACACACA